TTAATTGAAATAATCAAAGATTGGTCACAGTGACTAAACGACCAAGAAATCGATCATGTTTTCTCATAATCAAACACAAACAATTCTGGAACACTTGTTTTCATCAACAATATTTTTCACAAGGTTGGTTTTGTCTGTTACATTTCATAACACCACAAGCTCGTTCCAAGTCATGATTGAATTCATCTTAAAGACACCAAGATATTTATGTTCCTAACATACTAGTCATCCTTTAATGAGAAATTTTTCAAAAAAACAAAAAAATAACTACTTTTTTCCTTATTTTTTTGTGCATTAACAAATTTCATAAATGACACTAACCAATTATTTTCGATGATTGATCGGTGGTAATAAACCAATCATCAATTATGCGATTTTAACCAATTTCACACACTATTCCGTAAGAACTTGGCTTCCATCTACCCATAGCTCCTCCCTGAACCATCTGAAGTGGTTAATATCATGTGAATGAAATTTAGCCATTCCAGAAGTGGCCATAACAAGTCTTTCTTAAAAAGGTCTGAGCATTTGTCCACCTTAGCCCCCTCATCTGACAGCACCCTCACAACAGATCATGAAGGGCCTGCATAAGTAACATCTCTTGACATGATCTTGACGGTCTTCGATGACAACTGAACATTTCTTACATTTCCACATCAAGTGAGTGAGTGAGTTAGTTTAGTTTTACAATATTCCAGCAATATCACGACAGGGGACACCAGAAATGGGCTTCACATATTGTACCCATGTGGGGAATCGAACCCGGGTCTTCAGCGTACAAGCAAGTGCTTTAACCACTAAACTACCCCACACTGAGAATGCAAGGGGTCCTGTCATAAAACCCATTGAGGTATTATTCAGTCAGCTCACGAACATCGTTACAAACTCCACACATCCTGACAACTGCTACATCAACTACATCCTGGATCCACACTCCTCATCTTCTTCCTTGAGATTATTTCACATGTACCAAGTTGAGAGTTCACTCCATCAGTTGTTCCACACGGATGCTGTCCAACCATGCATCATCTCTTGTAGAGACAAAATATCAAAGGTATGTTTCCTTACATGAAACCTGTCACAGGTGCACTCAGGTGCCAGCAAATTTCAGTTCCACATGTTTAATTCCATTTATCAATATGTAAATTCTTTCAAATTTTCCCAAAACGAGGATCTATTGACAACCCATTTGTTACGATTTCTGGAGGGGGATATTGGTGAATCTCTGGTGGGGATATTGGTGGGTCTATGAGTGAGTTAAGTTTTACATTTTTAGCAATATCATGGTGAGGGACACCAGAACTGGGCTTCACACATTGTACCCATGTGGGGAATCGGACCCGGGTCTTTGGAGTGACAAGCGAACGCTTCAACCACTAGGCTACCTTAACGCACCAGTGGGGGATACTGAGACATCCCTTTGTCCAAAGAGCCTGACCAACTGAACACAAGGACTATCACTGACTATCATGACCATCCATTACCATACAACCTGGAGAAAGCAGCCAGTGAAATCATGCAGTACTTGCTGTGTAACATCCACAGATACAGATGCAGGGGAGCAGTCATTAAATTCCAAACTGGGTTCTGTATGTGTGTCCATACTGACAGAGGTGGAAGGGCTTGTTGTCCTGTTTGTTCTTGTGCAACTGTTTGTACATATGTCAGTGAAATGGATGGATGGGGTGGTGCAAGTGTGGCAATGGTTGTTTGTTTTATTTTTTCAGTTTATTTGAGTGAGAGGGAGGGTCGAGAGGAAGAGGTCAGATCAATGGCGAGAGCACAGAGAGCCTCAAGTCAGGGCTGAATGGAAGGAGCAGTTTGGGGGATGGGGAGGGGTGAGGGGAGGCAGAAGAGATGGGTGGCTAGTAAAGGCCCATCCAACACTTGTGAGAAGGATGCCCCCCTGCACTCACTAATCAATCCAAGCACCCCATGCAGGGGCAGAAATTAGCACTGGCCTCCCCGTCCCAGCAGTAAGGATAATGCTAAGATTCCTGGGAGCTTGTAGAACTTAGCTGTCTTCTTACATATGAACACCACAGACTGCTGACATGGGGAAATAGTTTGGAAGCATTCCATTGAATGATGACAACTTCATGTAGTGTGGGCTTAATAAACTTTCTTTGTTTGATATTTAACGTCACACTTAGCAATATTCCAGCAATAATAAGTGGACTTGGGTAATACTGATTAACAGGAGATTGTTGACTGTTTGGTGTGTTTGGATGGACCTTATAATCAGGGCTCCAGATAAGGGCCATATCGACGTATGTTCGGATAAAAAATATGCACGATACCATAGGAAATAATTTGAAAACGTAGCAGATACGCACCACAGCAATGGTGTACGAATCATTTACAGACGTATTTATATGAAAAAGTATTGTTTTATTGTTTATTGACCTGTTTACACAAGAGTAGCAATGTTGTGGTGCATATACCAAACGAAACACAAGAATACTGATTACTAATTTCCATTCAGTACTCTAAATGTACTTCTATATTGAAAAAATACGGAGTACAGACTCCTGATGTTGAAAAATTATCTGGAGCCCTGTTATAATGTTGGGTGGGTCCAGGTAGGACAGGCCTACATCTGGTGGGTCAAATAGACCAGGTGAAGGCAAGGGGAATCAACAACCTTTGTGTACATGGGTGGGTAGGGACAGCCAAAGGTACGGCAGGGGGGCGTAATAAAGAAGTGAGTATGGTTTTATGCCGCTTTTAGCAATATTCCAGCACCATCACCATCATAGTGGGGGTACACCAGAATTGGTCTTTACACATTGTACCCATGTGGGGAATCGGACCCGGGTCTTCAGCGTGGCGCGGACACTTTAACTATTGCTACCAGACTACCCCGGAATAAAGAAGTGTTAGTTGAGATTGTATTGAAAAGCCAAGGCTTGGAAACATAGGTTTGAGCAACCTTTGTGTACATGGATAGGTAGGGAGAGATAAGAAAATGTTATGGTGGGTCAGTCAGGGTGGGCAGAATAACCCTGGGTTTCATGGGATGTACTGGGTAGCCAGGGGTTGGTAGGGTGACCTGGGTAGCCAAGGTGGGTAGGGAAGGTCTGAGTTCCCTGGACAAAGACATATCTGGGTGGGACAAAACACCCAAAGGGTCATTAGTATATTCCTATGAAGCCAAGGTCTAGGTAGGTTGGGCCCTGGTACTTCAGGTCTAGGTTGGGTGGATCTTGCATGCCAGCTTCAGGGTAGGTGACACAGTGACTTCAGATACTGCATGGCTGGGTAGCACAGATCACTTCAGGATTGTAATACAACCATAACAAAGGTATTGCAACTTCCACAAAAAGTGAGGATAATCTTGAGTGAAGGAACATAATGAAGTGACAAGCAGGGCCTGGCTGAGTGTGAGTCAAATATGTCTGTGATAGATGCAGGCTAATGTCTATTGTGGGCATTAGTGCATGGTGATGTTCATGGCCATCAGAGCATGTGGACATGTATCCAAACTGATGTATGCTGTGTGGTTTGTCACAGAGCAAGGATCAGGCATGTGTAGGCAGTGCTTGTGTGGGAGCTGTGCACCAGGTGTTGATCTATTGTATCACAAAACACTACAGTTCCACATGTGCTTGAACCGGCCAATGATAAAGCAGAATTGCACCATCCACAAGACAAAACACTCGGTGTATATACACCAGTCTGAGAAGCAGGGGGTCATATGAATACATTCCACTGTTGCTTCTGACTGAAAACAAAGGTATTACTTCACAAAACAACATACATTTACACAGGTCAGTGAACACTGCCCTACATGGGGGTACGGTCAATTAGTAGTAATATCAAACACTTTCTTATATCTTTTGTGTAATTCCACAACTCCATCTGTAACAAATTACATAAAATAATACCAGTCTGTAATATTATTTTCATCCAAAACAACTGTTAACATTATTGATGACATTTCCATATCTGTTAACAATTACATAAATTAATACCAGTCTGTAATATTATTTTCCATCACCTTTCAACAGGTACATTCCCATATAAGTCCAAATGATGTCACTTATAGACTTAACTGTTGTAATCTCCCTAGTCTCTACTAGGGGTGTCACGATACACCAATCTCACGATACGATACGTATCACGATTTTAAGGTCACGATACGATACGTATCGCGATACATAATTATCGCGCCTTTTCATAGCATTACCTTACCGGCAAAGTACGCGCTCGCTGATTTGTCCATCAAAATAGTCTAGCCAATCACAAAAGCTGTTAGTTTCCAACCTATTTTTTAAGTAAAGCTAGCTACATCTATTTATCGGAGCGGTCTGCTATAATTTTACTATCAAGACTTTGACGGTGATGGATATAGCATAAAAATTTGAATCGATAAAGTTTTAAAATAGGAATCGATACGCCTAAGCATGTATCGTATCGATCGTGATCGTCAGTAAAAATGAATCGATGCATCGATACATTCGCGTATCGCGACACCCCTAGTCTCTACCATGGATGTTTGAAGTACTTCTTTCTGAGAGTATTTTCTCTGAATAATATACAAAATATAGACACAAGACATTTTTCTTCAGACATGTGTTGACAGAAATCAAAGTCACCCAAATAATTACTCAAAGCCAGTGTCACTGAAGTCACCTGGACAATTACCTCTGTGTATCAAGCAATGTATGAGGCAGTAACTAGTAACAATGGCATAAAATGTAAATGGACGTGCCTCAGGGAACAACCTTACTGATCAGGTAGGTGATGTGTTTTTAATGAAGTGACTTAATCCCCTTTGCAGTGTCTACAACCCAAACCTAATCCCTATACAACTTAGACTTATGACATAATACTTATAAACAACATCAGTGCATACACACCAATCGAGTATGCTAACACTTTATGGCATGCCAGTCTGACCAATACCCCCACCTCCCCCATGTGGGCGTGTTCACTCACCCGTGACCCCACGTGTACAATGTGATGGGGTCTCCACGTGTAGCCGACCAGGTACTTACCACCACCAAGAATGTAGAAACCCCGGAGGCTCGCCCAGTGTTATGTTTTTCTCCCATCGTATCTGTATCAAAAGAGGAAAGAGGAGGGCTGATATACAAATCGGGTTCTAGACAGACACAGTCAATCGCTGATAGTGCCCAAAAGGGCCATATTTACATGCGGTATAGCGGGGTAGTCGACGAACATCACAACGGAAGTTCCGCGAAGAAAGCTCGATTCACCTAAAATACTTACTTCTGATAAAAATGTCTGCGCTGACTTCTGGGCCCCTACGTGTAATAAATATTCGTAGACGTACAAAGCTAACCTGGAAGTAGAAGAGAAAACAATGTAACAAGTGTACACAAACTCGGGCCATCGAATAGCCGGCGGCCATTGCAGTTGACATTATCCACAACGTGCTCGTGTTCAGTAACATGTTTACAGTTCTTTACTGGCGATCGTAGGCCAAATAATCGTTTAATTAATTTTATTCACACAAACCACAACATTACTTTTCATTCATATCAAAGATCGAAGTCCAGCGATCAGTCTGTTCAGTCAAATCACACTGAATCACTGCCACGATCGGGTGTGTTTACTAAGCGGAACAGCCTAGCATTATAACCAACACTGTTTGAATGGGGCATCCCTTGCTGGCAGGTGAAACAGCGCGTTCATAGACAAAGACGAGGCATAATCGTGAGTGAACAACACGGGACTATCGTATCGAAAAATATGCAAGTGTCATGTTGATGCTGTATGTTTGAGAATACTCACTTTTCCCTCGCTTGAGCATCCGAGGGAACAGTAGACCCTTTCCCTTTCGCGTACATGCTGAGAGCTGAACTGTCACGCACCTGTCAAGCCATCAAGGACGACACTGACCCCGTTGCCTTGCCAACATCAAGTAGACCTGTCAAATGGCAAGTCTCTATTGGATAGTTAATTATAGCATGCTTTGGAGTGCCTCAAAACCGTCTGGCTCTACCATCATGTGGTACGGCGACAAAGCCCTGCTGGCTCTTTGCCAATTATCTAGTTTGATCAGATCAGTGTAAATTTTTGGCGTAGTTGGCTTTGTTTATGAGCAAAAGAATGAGTTTGCCAAAGTAAAAGTGTGAGCATGAATAAAAATTTAATATTTGAGCAGATAAATAATATTCGCAGTCTGTACTTAATGTCTAATAAAGATGTAGGTCGAATAAAGCGCCACGCGCTGTCTTTAAACGAGAGAAAATAAAATCTAGATATTTAACGAGAGAATATCTCAGTTAAAACTGTTTATTCCACGAGCCTAGTGAAGACAACATTTTAAAAAATATTCAAATCCAAAGTAAAGTGAGTTAAGTTTTCACCTTTAATGTTACTTAGTCTCTCCATCCACATCATACATCAGTAGGTATTTTTTTATTATTAAAAAAGATAACAAATAATTGAAACTTCACTATTCGCAAACCAGAATCATTAACCAATATAGATAATGCACCCGGGCCTGGGTTAGTTGTTTACTGAACAACGGGTGTTGGGCTTTGTTTCTCAGTGCAGGCACTGTTCCCCTAGCTGCTATAGTCAATGGAACGATTTAAATAATAATGCGACGTAGCGTTGACCTATATTCCCCGAGATTTTGCTCAATAGTTTCTGGGGCTCCTCGAAACCGTCTTGGGTCGGACGAGTTTATTGATAAAGGGGTAACAGGATATTGTCTTTGTAAATATACATGAATTCGCACAGCAAACAAGCAAAATACCTTCGAAGATGACGGATTTAATAGTTATGGTACAGTTCAAAATAATTTGATAAAATTTAGAAGTATCGGAGCGACAAAGCGATCGTGATTCACCGAATTTCTTCCCCCTTACAGAGAAAATAGGTCACACTTTGGCCATTGTGTATCAGCGCTACCGTACACCTCCTACGTGGGCGGCTCAAGCAGAACAGAAATGGCGGCAGGTTCGATTTCTGGGACTGAATTCGCTAATCAAGCAAATATATTTTTTACACTGTCGGTCAAATATAACGATACTTGGGATTTGAAGTCATCGCCTGTAAGTTATTTGCGCAGTGTGTTCGCTTGTGCTCGCCACCCATAACTGCTTCGCTAGAAAGAACCACGCGCGACTCGGCACCCTTTGCGTTTCGCTGTATTCGGCGTGTGCCTAAAATTAGAAACTTGGCTGAATGCCCGATCCCCACGCGCTATAGCGGAATAAGCCTCCCGTGGTTACCTCCCCTGATGGTAGGAAATCCCGTTTTTCTAAAGCTAGACCAAAGTCGACAAGTTTGTTTGTACAACCTTCCATCGGCGTGTATAATCACAGCATAATGAACCCCCAAACCATGTCAGCCATGTCAGATTAGGTCCAGATCCACCATGGCTTAATACTGACAGAACCCGAGTATTTTTATGAACAATATATTATTTGTTGAACAAAATTATGGTGTATTACACCGTATTCCCATTCCCCAAGCGTGAACTCGTTAAAAGACCGGTCATTTCCAGTTACAGCTTGACTCTTCGTCACAGTTGTCATTTATTTAGGTTCCTCTCACGAACGTTCATGGACTCTGATAATCTCAACTCACCGCTCAGGATTTTCACTTATTGTGATAAACTCAAGTTTTGATTTGTGGGAGATAATTAATATTTATCAACATTTTGATATTAACGGAAAGTGTATAGAGTCAAATTTAATTGAAAATTTTGTTCAAAACGTTCAGAGTTTAAGTTTTAATGGCCAGTACTACAGTTTGTTGTTTATTAAAACTAAATGGCCTGGTCAAAATCCTCACAGATATTAGGAATCCATTGCTAGATTGTTCTTCATCTCACAACCCAAGAGCCAAAAGCTTATGTTCAACTTGCATGTTGTAACAGACAACTGACAAGATCAGGTGGTCAGGCTCATTGACTGGTGGCCATGATGTCAACCACAGGGTTCTCCGGTCAGGCTTGAATAGTTTCAGATCTCTATCATGTGGCTGGAATATTGCCGAGAGCTAAGAGCAATAAACACTTGCCAATACGTAAATTTGATGGATGCAGTGTCTCAATACCCATGTTGAATCAACTTCTGGTTTCCCTGCCTCATAATGTATCATTTAGTTGTTAAAAAGTATTCTACTTCTTCAAAACTAATTCACTCCCATACAACAGTTATACAAACTCTGATGTTTATTTCAGCATAACAGAAATGAAGTTTATCTTACTAAGCGATGCAACATTGAAGTCGCAGAAAATAAGCAGGTATCTACCAATCAGAAGCAGTCTAGTAGTCAGACAGCCAATCAGAGTATTGCAGAAGAGGAGGATGTTGATGTAGAGGTATTGATGATCTTCATTCTTGCTTGAAGCACATGAAAGTCCTTCACCCACACAGGCCCACCCACCCAACCACATTTAGTGGCCACCCCACCCCACACATTCAGTAGACCGCCTCCGTGGTGTAGTGGTTAGAGCGTCCGCCCGGACAGCGGAAGGTCGCGGGTTCGATCCCTGACCACGTCATACCAAAAGACGTTAAAATATGGTACTTGTTGGTCCCTGCCTGGCGCTGGGCATTAATGGGTACAACAAGGACTGGTCGGCTCAGAGTCAGTATAATGTGTCTGAGTGGGGCATTCATGCTTCACTGCGGCATGGTATTTCAGTGGGCTAGCACTATAAAACTAGCTTCAGTCTGGGCTAGTACACACATATGCATGGTGATGTGTGGTCTTGTACAAGGAGCACAGGTCACTAATCAGTTGACGTCAAGCAACATTGGTCATGAAGAGGTCTTGGATGGGTGACCATGTTTGGCAGCATGACCCCAAAATGTTTCTTTGACTTCAGTCCTGCCCCACAACAAAGCATAAGTCACACAAGGTGGTTTCACCTTAGGCAAGTGACTTTGTTAAAAAATGCCTCTGTTCACCCAGCAGTGAATGGGTACCTGGTGGAATGAGATGTCATAAGACCTAGTGCTCCCAGGCAGCATGGGTTGTCGTGCACACTGATCCATTTACTGGGGGAATAATATTAGGGCCTTGAGCATGCACCTTTTGATTGGAAGTTGGCGCACCTACATTTGTTTTTAATTTACTTGCAACAAACTTTTCCACCCTTCACCCATGCACTGTTCCTACACCAATCCCCCAACACCACATTGAAAGCCTGTCTTTCTTCAGCAACACATGTTTGTGAGGAGACTCACAGGATCCGCTGTTCATGCTTGCTTACTTGGTTGATGCAGGTCATATCCCCTACGCTGATGTCTGCCTATGATGTCAATCACTGGATTGTCTGGTCCAGATCTCTCTAATGATGTCAGTCACTGAATTGTCTCGTCCAGACTTTTCTATGATGTCAATCACTGGATTGTTTGGTCCAGATCTTTCTAATGATGTCAGTCACTGATTGTCTGGTCCAGACTTTTCTATGATGTCAATCACTGATTTCTAATGATGTCAGTCACTGATTGTCCGGTCCAGACTTTTCTATAATGACAATCACTGGATTGTCTGGTCCAGATCTTTCTAATGATGTCAGTCACTGATTGTCTGGTCCAGACTTTTCTATGATGTCAATCACTGGATTGTCTGGTCCAGATCTTTCTAATGATGTCAGTCACTGATTGTCTGGTCCAGACTTTTCTATAATGACAATCACTGGATTGTCTGGTCCAGATCGTTCTAATGATGTCAGTCACTGATTGTCTGGTCCAGATCTCTCTAATGCTGTCAGTCACTGATTGTCTGGTCCAGACATTTTCTTATAATATCAATCACTGGATTGACTGGTCCAGATCTTTCTAATGCTGTCAGTCACTGAATTTTATGGTTCAGTCACAATTATTTACAGATCGTTGTCATATAGCTTGCATCTTGCTGAGTGTGGTTTTAAACTACAACAGAATTACAAAGCTTCACAAATATGCCACACCCACCATAAGTGTAGAAAAGGTGCTGATATATTTTCAGATTTGGATATTGAGACTGTAAGGCAATGGATAAGAAAATGTTTTTATGGGTGCCATTGTTTCATTTTGTTGTTCTTTGCAGTGTTTCAACTATTGTTTTCAGGTTTGTTTTGATAACATCAGTACTATTTTATCCAATTTTCAAGTGTATACTTTCGTTTTCCAGCTGATTTATGTCGTTATTATCTTGATAACTTGAATAATCACTCATGACATCAACCACTAGTTTATCCAGACTTCATCAGCAATAGGATACCTTGGTATAAACAAACACTGTTGTGTCAACCTGAAGTAAAAACTTGCTCCCTGCGAATTCCTTATTTAGTCGACCTTGGGTAACTCCATGTATTTGCATAGGTCCCTTCAACTTCAACATACCAGTGTTTGACGCTGATGTCTGCCTATGATGTCAATCACTGGATTGTCTGGTCCAGATCTCTCTAATGATGTCAGTCACTGAATTGTCTCGTCCAGACTTTTCTATGATGTCAATCACTGGATTGTTTGGTCCAGATCTTTCTAATGATGTCAGTCACTGATTGTCTGGTCCAGACTTTTCTATGATGTCAATCACTGGATTGTCTGGTCCAGATCTTTCTAATGATGTCAGTCACTGATTGTCTGGTCCAGACTTTCCTATAATGACAATCACTGGATTGTCTGGTCCAGATCGTTCTAATGATGTCAGTCACTGATTGTCTGGTCCAGACTTTTCTATGATGTCAATCACTGGATTGTCTGGTCCCGATCTCTCTAATGATGTCAGTCACTGATTGTCTGGTCCAGACTTTTCTATGATGTCAATCACTGGATTGTCTGGTCCAGATCTTTCTAATGATGTCAGTCACTGATTGTCCGGTCCAGACTTTTCTATAATGACAATCACTGGATTGTCTGGTCCAGATCGTTCTAATGATGTCAGTCACTGATTGTCTGGTCCAGACTTTTCTATGATGTCAATCACTGGATTGTCTGGTCCAGATCTTTCTAATGATGTCAGTCACTGATTGTCTGGTCCAGACTTTTCTATAATGACAATCACTGGATTGTCTGGTCCAGATCGTTCTAATGATGTCAGTCACTGATTGTCTGGTCCAGATCTCTCTCTAATGCTGTCAGTCACTGATTGTCTGGTCCAGACATTTTCTTATAATATCAATCACTGGATTGACTGGTCCAGATCTTTCTAATGCTGTCAGTCACTGAATTTTATGGTTCAGTCACAATTATTTACAGATCGTTGTCATATAGCTTGCATCTTGCTGAGTGTGGTTTTAAACTACAACAGAATTACAAAGCTTCACAAATATGCCACACCCACCATAAGTGTGGAAAAGGTGCTGATATATTTTCAGATTTGGATATTGAGACTGTAAGGCAATGGATAAGAAAATGTTTTTATGGGTGCCATTGTTTCATTTTGTTGTTCTTTGCAGTGTTTCAACTATTGTTTTCAGGTTTGTTTTGATAACATCAGTACTATTTTATCCAATTTTCAAGTGTATACTTTCGTTTTCCAGCTGATTTATGTCGTTATTATCTTGATAACTTGAATAATCACTCATGACATCAACCACTAGTTTATCCAGACTTCATCAGCAATAGGATACCTTGGTATAAACAAACACTGTTGTGTCAACCTGAAGTAAAAACTTGCTCCCTGCGAATTCCTTATTTAGTCGACCTTGGGTAACTCCATGTATTTGCATAGGTCCCTTCAACTTCAACATACCAGTGTTTGACTGTAGGTGAAATCTTGCTGTATCTGATGTTAAACAATGACTTCACCTCACCCACTGAATCATGGTTGTCACAGCCAGTTAGCTTTGTGCAAGCCGTTTCCATGTTGAACTTGATGTTGAAGGGACAAGTATCTGCTTGTCTGTTGACTGATCCAGATCAAGTTAAGATAACAGCTGCTGTCAGCCATGTTACAGAAATTCAGTGAAGCGTGGAATATGTCAGACACATTAGTTGTACAAAGTCTTGTTAAAACTAAGTTCATGTTTCACACAATCCACCCACACCTAATATTACACCCATAAAATTTGAATTATGTTTGTGCACTTTTAAGAAACCTCTTTTCACTTCAGATTTCAATTTCTATCTTACTTCTTTTTGAACATGCCGTTCTTAGTGTTAGAAGGAAATGCTCTTATGTCTCTGCATGTTTTTGAGGGGCAGGGTCATGACCAAAAGAGGTCATATGGTAGATTTTAGGTCAGTCTTCTAAATGTGGGACTTACAAAGGAAATGGGGCAGTGGGGTAGCCCAGTAGTTGAAGCGTTCGATGTTCACGCTGAAGACACGGGTTCGATTCCCCACATGGGTACAATGTGTAAAGCCCATTTTTGGTGTCCCCTTGCCGTGATATTGCTGGAATATTGCTAAAGCGGAGTAAAACTAAACTCACTCACTCACTCACTCCACTCCACTCCACTCCACTCCACTCCACTCCACTCCACTCCACTCCACTCCACTCCACTCACTCTCACTCACTCACTCACTCACTCACTCACTCACTCACTCACTCACTCACTCACTCACTCACTCACTCAGGAAAAATAAAAATGTCCTACCTTCGTGCTCAGTCAGTATTTAAGTTTGCCAGACCGAAGGGAATAACATAGGTTCCCTACTGAAGTCTAGAATGATTTGGCAGCCCAGATTGCCTCAGCTCTAGACAAAATATTTAGGATTGTTCTCGGCTCTAGTTTGATTTGTTTTGAAGGTAAACTTTCTTTTTGTACTTTTTAGATATACTACCCATCAAAAGTTTAGACTCACTAGTGTAAATGTAGCCACTTACTTCAGTCAACTGTTATAAACTAGATTTTGCAAAATATTCCATCCTGTTTTAATGTACTGTTTACACATGAACTGAAGTATTGTAAAACAAATTCGTAACGTTGAAAAGATTATTGTCATGAGTTCAATAAATGATGAAACTCAGTGAAAATTGGCGAATTCTTAACAAAACTGTACACCAAAACGCAGCTGTTCACTTGCACGATATTTGCACATACATTTCAGCAATTTGATGCATGATCCTCATGCAATTCATCTGCACAAGGGTTTGCAGTTGGTTCCCCCAAGTTAGTGGAGAAATGCTTCTCCGATTTAACCACATATATATACATAACGTATAATGAATGCTTTAAGTGAGTCTAAACTTTTGATTGGTAGTATACATGTAACTGCATTTATTGTTAAATAAGATAACTAGGATCAACTGTGTGTCTATATTAATGTCAAAGTCAAGAAACACAAGAGTGTTATTATCTGGTCCATCAGGCGTTATAACAGTTATAGTATATACATCCAGGTTATCAGTGATATAGTTGCATGCTTAGCCTCACAGTTTGTGTTATTACATGATACAAGTCTTAGTGTGCAACACTGTATTTAAAAGCTGATATGTATTACTATTTGGCTAATGTGTGCATCCTGTACATTCTTGTGGAATGTATTGTGTTTATATCCCAGGATGTACACTTCTAATCAGTAGGTTGCCAGTTGTTGCCTAAATTGGTTATGCAGAGTTGTTTCCCTTAGTTGTGTGAGCTTTCAGTGGTCATAGTTTAAAATCCAAGATCACTGCCTCTAATAAAGTGGTAATCAATTCTACCTTGCTCTTCTTTTTGGATGGGGGTAGGGTGTTGGAGGGGAAGGAATGATTCCATCCATTTAAACATGCTGTGCTTTAACTGACAAATTGTTCAAAGCAGTATCTCCAGTTTACTCACTCACATTCTCGTGAGTCTTAACATTCTCGTAAAATTTGGTCTTCAGCAACCCATGCTTGTCTCAAGAAGTGACTGACTGGATCATGTTTGTTTGGGGTTTTTTGTTCATGGTTTAATACAGCACTCAACAATACAGCTATATATTGTTAAATAAGTGAATGTGGTCCAGACAATCCAGTGATCAACAGCATGAGCATTGATCTACACAATTTGTATATGATGACTTGTGTCAACCAAGTCAGCAATCCCAACCACCCGATCCCATTAGTCCCCTCTTACGACTAGTTTGGTTTGCTGAAGGCCAGTTCTAAACCAGATCTACACGGGCATCTGGATCATGTGGATGGGCTCACCTAGTTAGTTGTCATTATGGTTTAGATCAATGCTCATGATATCAGTCTCCAGATTCCATTACATGCAGATGTCTAATAGCAGGAATGTTTCTCTGTGCGGCTTGAAACAACAAACACCATTACAAATGGTGGAAGTTTAACTAGTGGCCTTGTTTCCCCTTCCAGGAGAGTGATGCAGCATGTCTGACAACAACACCTCCACCATCATCTTCAGTGTGCCAGTTTGAGTACCACATCGTCTACAGTGCCAGCTATGGGGTGCCAGTTCTGTACTTCAATGCATACACACAAGGTATGCACAAATAGTCACACTGCAGAGAAAGAAATGTATTTTTGTTTGTATCTTTTTCAAATGTGCGAAAAAGGGTTTAAGAGTTTGTTTGATGTGTATTGCTGTTCTCAACATATTTCCAGCAATAAGCAGGGGCGTAGCTACCATTATAAAAAAAAGCCAGCTTACACATGATTGTTGCTGAAAAGGTTGGGCAACCCCTCATTACTATCTCAATATGAAGCTTTGCAACCTATCGGGCTTACATGAAAAGAATGGCTTGCTATGTGCCTGATAAGACAGTGACCAAGAGTTGCCAAGAGAGCATCCATTGACCTTGTGTTTCCCTAGTCTCAGCACCATTAGAGGGCCTGCATGAATTTCAAAGACTGTAATACTTGCAATATTTAAAGAATCAGCTGATCTATATTGTGGAACATTGCATTCGTAATGTGATCATATGTATATCATTCAGCCTTTTTTGTCCAGTTTTCTTGTAAAAGTACATTTGTTACTGGTTTCAACAATAAACATAAGCCTAAGGCGCATTTTAAATGTGACCTTCAGGTACATGGCCCCAGGGGTGGATACAACTTTTTGAGAAATGGGGCGTGCACAGTTCATTGTCACCCGTTTACACGAGAGTTTCAATGATCATTTAATAAACTTTCAGGATAAAAGGGGGTGTACGTGCCGCGCACGCACACACGCATGCACACACACACACATTGGATCCGCCCGTGGGAATGTAGATTCTCTGCTCTGTACCATAACCATAAGGACTTTGCAAATGACGCTTTAATTCATGGAATTTGGTCCCTTGACTGTATCATGCTATGCAATACTCATTATTGCACAGTATGCAAGTGAATATGTTTTTTGTGCCATTTCCGCAATATTCCTGTGATGTGATGACAGGGACATCAGAAGTGCTCTTCACACATTGTATGGGGAGTTAAATCTGTGTCTTCGCTATGACAAATGAATGCTTTAACCGTAGGCTTCCACACTACTATCATGATAGGGCACGATTGCAATCTAATATTAATGTCCACATACACAAAATGCATATTAAAAAAAATTTCCTATTTGTATCTGACTCAACTTTACTTTGCCTAACAACGTTGATCTTTGGACATAAATAATACAACTGACATTTATCTATCATACTACATCACTAAATCCTGTGTTATGATTAATTGAACAGGCTTTCTGGGGCTTGACATCATCAGCCTGTTTGTTTATTTGTTTATTTAAAATCAAGACAGTCATCAAAGATCTGGGGGGCAGTGGTGTAGCCCAGTGGTTGAAGCGTTCACTCGTCATGCTGAAGACCCTGGTTTGATTCCCCACATGTGAACTATGTGTGAAGCCCATTTCTGGTGGAATATTGCTAAAAGTGGCATAAAACTAAACTTACTCTCTCACTCAATCTAGTCTATTGTATTTTGTAGTTAAAGTGGTGAAGGCTTCTGCGTTTCAAATTTAATATATTTTTGGGCCTGGCTTTTACCAGATTTTGTCAGGTACAACTGGGTATTTACTTCAACATATGCCAGGTGGAAGTTAAATCAAGCACTTTAAATGAAGTGATACGGGGGTGGCTTTGACACTATACATTAGTAGAGTGAATAGGCAAAGATCAGGAAAAACATCAAGGTTAAAATGAACTGTAAAACATGAGGCTATGTACAATGTTTTTATTTATGAAATGTTCCACTGGCTTAATCAATGAATTTACTTATTTTTAGTTGTTGTTTTCAATGGGGTCATTGAGATATGAAAAAAACATACACATTTCTGTTGACTTTCGTGATACATGAATGAAATGTTATAAAGCACAGTGAACTTTACATGGCAACAAACAGCACACTGTTTTGATCAGGGCACCTACATCTCTATCTCATGATCAGGCACTGAAATATACTGGACAAAAATAGTTAGGGATATATGTAAATTTTGAAATTATGAATAATGATCTATTTATTCATTGACACACTGATAAGATATCAATCATAAAAATACCAATATCCCTACCCGGTAACTTATTTTGTCCAGTATACTTTGTGATTTAATGGTATTTAAGAATTCATTTAAACTTTTTCTGCATTCTTAGAAGTTTATTACTGAAAATGAGAATACACACAAGTAAATCACCAAATTATATCAGAGCTCCAGATAAGATTTAGCTCATGTGGGTACTGTACCCACTGTATTTTTTTGGGGTGGGTATTATGAATGTTGAGTGGGTATTTCTTTTTCTGTTACCCACTGCTTTCAAATATATGCGTATTTCAGTCATTTTACTCACCTAAGTATATGCCATTGAGTAAGTTTACTAAGCAGGTATGCTCTGCCTTATGTCATACCTAAGCAAAACCAACTTAAATATAATGGAAATGATTTCATAAAAAATCACTCATCCTATACTCACAGTACAACTCTTGTCCTTTACTAACAGTACAACTTGATAGCAGTTGATGTGTTTTTCGTTACGCAAGCGACTTTTTATAAATATAATCCATACACATTTGTTTTAAACTTTCTGCGTATCTAACATTTTAAATGCGTAATTGGTACGTAACAATTATTTTTCAATGCGTAATTTTATGTGTATTTTACCCAGATACGCAGCTTATCTGGGCCTCTGTTATATGTTAAAAAGTCCATAAATGCAAAACATATTGAAAACAAATTGAAATGTGTCAACTATTAAAACTTTACTGCAAATAATTGTACTTTTGCTCACAGTATAAACTGTATTTTTGGTAATCTATTTGTGCTACTTGTTACAAATACAAGCGATATACAAACTGCAGTGATACAGCTAGAATATTGCACAGTCAGCATGACAACACCCACAGCTGTCAATAATCAGGGCAGACAGAGTTACCTCCCTTAGATAACTTAACTCATCAGAGTGAGATCATCAATGTTCAGTGGGCTTGCTCAAGTATCTCATTATGTGCACAATAATTAACTATTGCAAATGAATAAATTTAAATAACCTTTTTTGTCATAAAGCCATTAATAAGTGCAGAAAATCTTATTCAGATTCAATATCATTTGGAAAAAATAACATTCATCGATAAAATATAGTCTTCGAATGGCATTTAGAGTGAGTGAGTAAGGTTTTACGCTGCTTTTAGCAAAATTCCATCAATATCACGGTGGGGTACACCAGAAATGAGCTTCACACCTTGTACCCATGTGGAGAATCAAACCCAGGTCTTCGGCGTGACGAGTGAACGATTTATCCACTAGGCTACCCGAATGGCATTTAGAAGTGATGCACAGAAGGAAGAGAGTTTTTATGGATAACAAATTCTTCATTATGAGGAACACAATGTTTCGGGAGTATATCCTTACTCCTTCATCAGGTGAATGAATGGTATGGGCGGAGAGCATATATATGTACATGTAAGAACAACAAAAGTAATGAGACAACAATCGAGCAAATGGAAGCCAGCACAAACAGTTAATTAGCACTGAATGGATGCTAACACTTAACAGTTAATTAGCGCTGAATATACAGTGTTTGAATATGTTAAATAAGTAAATTAGAATTCTAATTGAAATGTGACCTGTGAAGTTCCGGGGTAGAATAGGTCTTCAGCAACCCATGTGCTTGCCATAAAGGCGACTATGCTTGTCGTAAGAGGCGACTAACGGGATCGGGTGGTCAGTTTCGCTGACTTGGTTGACACATGTCATGGGTTCCCAATTGTGCAGATCGATGCTCATGCTGTTGATCACTGGATTGTCTGGTCCAGACTAGATTATTTACAGACCACCACCATATAGCTGGGATATTGCTGAGTGCAGCGTAAAACTAAACTCACTCACTCACTCACTCACTCTAATTGAAATGAATTTTAAGATTTTTTTATGACAGGCTGGTATTATGAATACACATTATGTAGCTTATACCAAGACTTTAAATACATGCAAATATATTGACCCATGTACCTTTGAAAATCTGGGTTAGAATTGTTCTTCCTGGAACACATGTTCACCCAAGACCCGGGTTCGATTCCCCACAGGGGTACAATGTGTGAAGCCCATTTTGGGTGTCCCCCGCCGTGATATTGCTGGAATATTGCTAAAAGCAGCGTAAAAACATACTCTCTCATTGATGTTGTAAAGATTACCAGTATTTATGTTGATTTTTAGATGGGAGACTTCTGTCACTCGACAGTGTGTGGAACAGTGTACCCCAACATTACCAAGACAGATTTCAACATGAACGATGGACCACTCTCACACAGCAGGTGCTCCATGATAATATAGACATTTGTTGTAGCAAAATTAACATACTTGGAAGCAATAGTTGCTACGCAGTTGAGAACCGTCATAGAAAATATAATTGAAAACAACCAAAGTTCAACCACACAGTATTCAACAAAGCCTTGACTTGATGATTATCTAAGTTGTGTGAACAAGATAGTGATTTTTCGTTAACTTGCAATAAAGTTAGATGTTTCAGCCCTTTTTGGCCTTGGTATGAATTGTGTAGCTGATACTCCTGTTCCTTGTTGTGCATACAGGAACACCCAATCCTAGGCCGGCCATTCTTTCAACTCCACCCTTGTCATACTGCAGACCTCATGAGTAAACTGATTCCAGAGAGCTGTTCAGGGTAAGCTAAAGGTTCAGCCAGAACTAAGCAGCTGTTCAGGGTAAGCTAAGGGATCAGCCAGAACCAAGCAGCTGTTCAGGGTAAGCTAAGGGATCAGCCAGAACCAAGCAGCTGTTCAGGGTAAGCTAAGGGATCAGCCAGAACCAAGCAGCTGTTCAGGGTAAGCTAAGGGATCAGCCAGAACTAAGCAGCTGTTCAGGGTAAGCTAACGGATCAGCCAGAACTAAGCATCTGTTCAGGATAAGCTAAAGGTTCAGCCAGAACTAAGCATCTGTTCAGGGTAAGCTAAGGGATCGGCCAGAACCAAGCATCTGTACAGGGTAAGTTAAGGTGAGGTGAGGTGAGGTGAAATTGGGTTTAACGTCGTGCTTGAGAATATTTCGCTCATATGACGACGTGCATGCGTGTGTATGTGTATGTGCGGCTGCTTGTACTAGCCCAGACTTAAGCTGGTTTTATAGTGCTAGCTCACTGAGATACCATGCCGCAGTGAAGCATGAATACCCCACTCAGACACATTATATTGACTCCAAGCCGACCAGTCCTTGTTGTACCCATTAATGCCGAGCGCCAGGCAGGGACCAACAAGTACCATATTTTAACGTCTTTTTGGTATGACGCGGTCGGGGATCGAACCCGCGACCTTCCGCTCTCCGGGCGGACGCTCTAACCACTACACCACTGAGGCGGTCGGGTAAGCTAAGGGATCAGCCAGAAGGGATCAGGTCCAGGTCTTGTGTGCTGTACAAGAAATACTAAGGGAGGAGACTGGGCCCCAGTACATGGGCAAGGCCCACCTAGAGATCACTTGGGTGTGGGGATCTGTACAAGATAGACAAAGGGAAGAGGCTGGCTCATGTAACTGTGTAAGGTTGACTAAGATATCAGCTGGGCCTGGGAGCAGTACAAGTATTAACTGAAAGAAGTACGTTTGAGATCACCTAGATTTTGATAGTTGCATAAGAGACACTGGAGTATATTAGCTAATATAGGGATCCAAGGTGAACAGGGTCACAATGGATCAGTGAACTCTGGGGGGATTAGCTAGATCCGAAAACAGTTGTACAAGGTACACTGGAGGATTAGCTAGAGCCAGACAACAACATGTGGTACACTAGGTGGAACATTAGTCAACTAGTGTATTAAGTACACTCAATCAAAGAATCTAACCATGGTGTTAGGATAGCAAAAACATGACAAATCATTTATTAACAACTTAATTGTACATTACCAAAATATTACCATTTGAAAATGCTCAACTTTTAATTGTTTATTTTTTCCTTTGCAGAAATTACCTCCTTAGCTGGTTAAGTGCTGTTGGGCCTGTAGTAGGACTGAAGGTTCCCTTGTCTTACGTCACAAGTTGAGAACTACAAAGTAAAACTTCAGAACACTTCAAGGAAGGCAGCTTGCTTTTCCTACATCACAAATTGAACACCACCCGGAATAGATCTAACTTGTCTTACATCACCATGAGGGAAGCCAGCTGGCGTGTCCAGCATCATATGCCAAACACTGTAAGAGAAGGCTGATATCTTTACCTGCATCACAAGCTGAACACCATGAGAGAAGAAGGCAGGCTTGTCCTACGTCAAATGCCAAACACCGTAAGAGAAGGCTGATATCTTTACCTGCATCACAAGCTGAACACCATGAGTGAAGAAGACGGATGTGTCCTTCGTCATATGCCAAACTCCATAAGAGAAGGCTGATATCTTTACCTGCATCACAAGCTGAACACCATGAGAGAAGAAGACGGATGTGTCCTTCGTCATATGCCAAACTCTATAAGAGAAGGCTGATATCTTTACCTGCATCACAAGTTGAACACCATGAGAGAAGAAGACGAATGTGTCCTTCGTCTTACGTCATATGCCAAACACCATAAAGAAGGCTGATATCTTTACCTGCATCTCAAGTTGAACACCATGAGAAGAAGACGGAGCCATATGCCAAACTCCATAAGAGAATGTGTCCTTACCGCATCACAATGCCAAACACCGCCATATGCCAAACTCTATAAGAGAAGGCTGATATCTTTACCTGCATCACAAGCTGAACACCATGAGAGAAGAAGGCAGGCTTGTCCTACGTCAAATGCCAAACACCATAAACAAGGCTAATATCTTTACCTGTATCGCAAGCTGAACACCATGAGAGAAGAAGGCGGGCTTGTCCTACGTCCTATCCCACACCACAGGTTATGTTAAAATTTGTGACCTATATGTACATTCTCTGTAGGAATAACTGAACATTGATGGGCCTGATTGTTATCACAATAAAAGATGTCAGTCCTGTCTCACAGAGTTGGTTGGATAATTCCTGGATTATATATAAGGACAGTTCAGAATGCAAACATACACATCAGAAACATGTCCTAAAAGATGTTTTTGTTACATTATTGTGTATTGTGTTTTGAATGAGGGTTTGCCCAGATGGGGGTTGGAGGCACTTTCAGAACCCAGCCCTGGATCTTGGATCACTCACTGACAATAAGCAGATGCACCTTAGTCTCAGGACCGGTTCTGATAAGGCGATCACCTTGTACAATGATGACCTTACCACAAGAATAAGAGAACTGTTAAGATCAGGAATCCCCTCAATGGTTGTAGTTATGTGTATTGTTACTGATGCTATGAAACATTTACAGAAGATGGTGGCTTCATGTGTTTTAGTAACATCACAATCAATTGAAGTCGCCCATCTTTGAAGCTGGTTAGCTGCAGGAATATAGGAAATGGATTCTCACCCTCGTGTGTTTTTGTATCAGATAAATCCCGGTCACTGATGAACCTTTCTTTATAACTCTAAGTAAGATCTGTTTAACATGACCAACAGACTGGGGCGGTGGGGTAGCCTAGTTGTTAACGCGTTCGCTGGTCACGCCGAAGGCACGGGTTCGAATCCCCAACAGAGCGGAGCACAATCCCACCATCGTTCCACTTGTTATCACAACACCGCCCACAGTGGAAGTAAGGGGGATAATGAACTTGACTGACCGTCCATGATATTATTTTCATATCTCTAAAATTAAAAAGAAACTTTTTCATCTTATTATTGACTTGGACTCAGTTCACAAGGATGTGGGTTATTCTAAAGCGTAAAACTACCGGGTTTTTTTTCAGTAAGCACCACATAATGACAATTTTGTAAACTGGCTCATTCTGGGATGTAATCTTGAAGAGATTTCTTGTATTCTTGGTTTGTTATTCATTGTTAACGCCACACTGCATAACGTTCCCGTTAGGTGTATAGACAAGCCAATGATTGACTTTATGAGCATTGATCGACATAAACCAGATACGATGGCATGCGTCTTTGTTACAAGAGTGAGTGAGTTTAGTTTTACGCCGCACTCGGCAATATTCCAGCTATATGGCTGCGTTCTGTAAATAATTGAGTCTGGACCAGACAATCCAGTGATCAACAGCATGATCATCGATCTCTGCAATTGGGAACCGATAACATGTGTCAACCAAGTCAGCGAGTCTGACCACCCGATCCCGTTAGTCGCCTCTTACGACAAGCATGGGTTACTGAAGGTTCATTCTAACCCGGACCTTCACGGGTACTTTGTTACAAGACGTAACTACATAATTTGGAGGAGGTACCTGGATCCTGATTGTCTGGGAACGTATGTAGTATGGGGTTCATCTCCAATCTGTTGCTTCCACCGAAAACTCCATTCTGAAGATGCCGCCTCCCAGGTGTAGTGGTTAGAGCGTCCGCCCGGAGATCGGCTGCGTCATACCAAAAGACGTTACAATATGGCCTGCCGCTCGGCATTAATGGGGACAAGGACTGGTCGGCTCGGAGTCCGTATAATGTGTCTGAGTGGGGAATTCATGCATGGTATCTCGGTGAGCTAGCACTATAAAACCAGCTTAAGTCTGGGCTAGTACAAGCAGCCACATATACACACGCATGCACGTCGTCATATGAGCGAAATATTCTTAAGTGCGACTTTAAACCCAATATAACCTCACCTCACCTCACCTCACCTCACCATTCTGAAGACACTAAAACATTATCAGCAAAGAATGCAAACGGAACAAGTATATCCCTGACCATGACCTGGGTGGGGTAGCCTAGTCGTTAAAGCGTTCGCTCGTCACGCGCGAAGCCCCGGGTTCTATTCTCAACATGGTGAAGCCCACTTCGGGAGTCCCCCCTCCGTTATATTACTGGAATATTGCTAAAAGTGACGTAATCCCTTTCTCTCAATTAGCTGAAGTAGATGGCTGCAGCGTTGAACATATGACACAGTTGTGAGTAAGCATGGCCAATGAACGCTTGAACCACCTGTTTTCCCCAGGGGTAGGACACACTAACCCTGGTGACAGAACATGGGCTGTGACTTCGATATTTCCCAATCATTGGGTTGGTTGGCAGGTGCGTAGCAAGCCAATTTGTTCGTGTATAAGCCCGATAGGTTGCAAAGCTTTATGTTTAGATAGTATTGAGCGCTTGCCCAACTTTCATTTTGTATGAAACCTGTATTGTTATCAACGTTTGTTGATTTTATTAACTTCAAAATGTTATCTTATCAATATTTTGAAATCATAAGAAGGAGAACTTGGAGTAGTTAACCATCAATTCATGCAGAAAAATCATTTGATTGAAATGTGACTTCCTCATATTCAAATATGTTTTGACATTGTTTAACACATGGTGACTGTGTTATTTGCCGTTCAGGTGTCAGACAAGGCTGTATTTTAATTCCTTTTCTGTTTACATTTTTTTATCAATGAATTAGCTGTGCAAATATGTGATAACTGTACAAACGGGATCCCGTTACACCCTGATTTAACTCAATTATTTTTGTTACTCTTTGCGGATGATATTGTCTTACTTTCTAGCACCATAAGTGGTCTACAGAAACAAATTGATCAACTTGAAATCTATTCTGATGAATGGAATTTGGAGTAAAACAAAGGTTATTGTTTTAAAGAATGGCAGGAAACTTTCAAAAGGGGAGAAATGGATTTACAAAGGCGAAAAACTATAAACTATAAACGTATGTAAATATCTTGGAGTCATCTTTCGTGGATTAACCACACAAAACAGGTATCTGTACAAGCCCTTAAGGTTTTGATAAATATGATTAATAATATTCATATTCTTTTAGGAAATATCATATAAATCATTCTTTAAAATATTTGATGTTAAAGTGAGTGAGTGAGTTTAGTTTTACGCCGCACTCAGCTATATTCCAGCTATATGGCGGCGGTCTGTAAATAATCGAGTCTGGACCAGACAATCCAATGATCAACATTATGAGCATCGATCTGATGTTAAAGTTAGCCCAATACTGTTATATGGATCAGAAATATGGGGTTTGAATAATTATGAATCTTATAGATAAAGTCCATTTATATGCATGCAAAAAATATCTCGGTGTGAAATGTAGCACATGTAGCACTATGGTATACGGCGAGTGTGGTAGATTTCCATTATACATATGTTCTACTATTAAAGTTATAAAGTACTGGTTACGATTGTTACCTATGCCATGTCATAGATTTCCTAAGAAATGTTATTATATGATGATAGTATATGATAAAAAAGGGAAAAGAAATTGGGTAACCTATGTAAGGGAATTTTACACAAAACGGGATATGGTTATGTTTGGAATAATCAAAACTCCCAACCAGAAAATTCTTTTATTATGTCACTGACCCATGAATGAAAGACATCTATCAACACACATGGCTTAAATCAATCAATCTATCCTCTAAATGTCTGTATTATAAACACTTGAAATCTCAACTATGCCAAGAATATATTATTTATCAAAAATCACTGTAAAGAAATTCCGTGTAGCTTTATCCCGTTTTCACTGCTCATCGCACGAGTTGCTTGTTGGAACTGGGCGTTATATGAATATTCCGCGTAACCATAGAATTGGCAACCTCTGTAACGTTAATGCTGTAGAAGACGAATACAGTTTTCTTTTTATCTGCCCCGCCTTTGAAAACCTTAGAAAGAAATATTTAACCTACTATTATACCCTTCCAAATGAACTAAAAATGACTACATTTTGTATATCATTAACAAATGAAAATGAATTACAGAACCTGTCAATGTACATCTATTTTGCATTTATACATAGAAAACCTGCTACGCCCCTGGTTGGGTGTTTAGCGGTGCGTTCAGAAATATTCCAGCTACTGGTATCTGGCGGGTAAATAATAGAGTCTTTACCAGGCAATCCAGTGATCAAGAGCATGAACATCGATTTACGCAAATGGGAAACGATGACATGTGTCAACCAAGTCAGCGAGCCTGACCACCTGAACCCGTTAGTCGCTCTTACAAGCATGGGTTGCTGAAGACCAATTCTAACCCGGATCTTTACGGGTCCCAATCACTGGGTCTCCAGCACCCAATGCACTGAAAGATTCAAAACACTTCCGCCCTACGTACTGATTGTATATCTTTGTAACACACATAAGGCTGTACATAACAGGGAAGTCGCACGAAGGATGTCATACAGGAAGATGGTTGTGATTATCTGTCTGAGATCAATGACTTGGCGACCTGTGCAGTAACGCCCTTACTTTTACATACGGAAACATTTGACACTGAATAATAATCTAGTATATCAATTCCATAAGGCTCATTGTTCATTTGCAGAATTATCATGTAGTCATGTGACAGGGCTCCACCATTCTCTAGTAGATGCTGAGTCATGTTTATGAAAAGAACACTATCACCCTAAGAACAATCCACAATGATCACAGCTTCAGGAAACGGTGACAGTTAAACGTATTTTCCTGTTTAATTTAGTTACTAAAACAAACAAGGTGGATAGTTTCCCAACGTCACGATATCTATAGCACTGCCATTCTTGTTGCATTATATAACTTTGTAATACTTGAAATTTTATTTAGTAACAAGTTCCCATCACTTAGATAATCCACTTGATTGCCATGTCACGTGTCTCGTGACTATTGTTTACTTCACGAGGCCGATGACGTCTACAGAGGAAGGAAACCGGGACAGATGCTGGCACGGGATACAAGGCGGTTGTCGAGCCCACTCGCCTACAGTCGTCGCAGACAGAGCATCGCAGGGAGGACGCTGCCCCACTGAAGACCAACACTGGTGCAGGAATACTATTACCAACGGGAGTTGAATTTACTTGCTGGAATGGGAACTGGCCCGCCCCGACCTCTTTTACGAAGTGGATATGTGTGTTAAAGTTCACCAAGGAGGTTATGGTAATAGTCCGTTTTCCCATGGTCACGCTACTGTGTTCTGCTAAGAGTTCTGGGATCTGCCCTGAATAACAGGACCACTAATTTGCTGTGAACGATCCACTTCATTCAGGTTGTCTGCATTCGTACGTGCTTCTGTACAGCGACCACTACGTATTTTCCACAACGCTGCTCAATGGATAGGAGCAAGTTTTAGGACCAACTGCAACATTACCCCATCTACTCGAAACCGGAAAAGCAAAACTGGTTTATTTTCGTACAACAGTTTCCCTATTTAACTCTGAACAGTCGGCAGTTGTCAAGGGTGTCAGTCAGAACAATGGGTTCCGCGTCTTCCCGAAGGAAAGCAAACAAAAGTAAGATAAAAACAGTCACTTTATCTGAATCAGCTCGTGCGTCTGGAAAGACGAAGGGGAGTTCCAAAAAGGGTGGAAAAAGCAGTAAAGCAAGCATCAACAACAGCAGCAACGACATCATCCCCTGGGATGCACAGAGCAACAGCGTCAAGGTGACGGACAAGACACGAGTGTTCCAGAGGAGCAAGTCGGAACCTGCAGTAAAGACCAACCTCAACAGCTCCCTCTCAACTTCTCTGCGTTTCAGTGACTTCTGTAAGATAGTGCGGAAAGAGAGGGTCGAAACGGACGAGATAAAGCCCATCTACATTCCGTATATCACGACGCACAAGGTGAGATACGGTAATTATAGGGTATTATATCACGACGCACAAGGTTAGATACGGGAATTATAGAGTATTATATCACGACGCACAAGGTGAGATACGGGAATTATAGGGTATTATATCACGACGCACAAGATGAGATACGGGAATTATAGGGTATTATATCACGACGCACAAGATGAGATACGGAATTCATCCTAATGATTTGTTACCGTTGTGATGGCGGCGGTGGGGTAGCATGATGGTTAAAGCGTCCGCTCGTCACGCCGACGACCCGGGTTCGATTCCCCACATGGGACACAATTCGTGAAGCCCTATTTCAATATAACGGCGGGGACGCAAGAAATGGGCTTCATACATGTGGGGAATCGAATCCGGGTCTTCGTTGTGACTACTAAGCTGTACCACCGATTAGATATTAAGTAGCCAGTGATGTAAGCCAAGTGATGAGGCCCTTGCTGTGTTTTATGGTCCCTAGACAAAGTGAATTGTTCCTCATGTTGTCAACCGCTGATGTCCCTGACGTGATTACTAACAGTTGCCATGCATAAGCTTCCACAGCGTAACAGCCTTAAAACATTCACGGACTCTAAGCGCTAAATTTGCAGATGAAAAACGAATCCCCCCAAAAGAGGGAAAGTAAATAAAATAAAGTTTGAATATATTCATAGTTATATTACTTGCGACGTCAGCGGATTGAACCAGGATCACATCGTTGTCTTGGCTACTTGCATCGTCGCTTCCTTCCTGAAGGAGACTGTGATCACCGTTCCGCAGTTGCTTGACGGCGCATCCAACTATATATTACAATGGCTTGTAAATATTGAGTCTTGACTAGACAAACCAGTGATTTATAGTCCGAGAACGCCCAACGGCGTCCGGGTACAACGGCGTGCTATCAACCGAACCCGGGCGGTGGGGTAGCCTAGTGGTTAAAGCGTTCGCTCGTCACACCGAGGCCCGGGTTCGATTCCCCACATGGGTACAATGTGTGAAGCCCATTTCTGATGTACCCCTCCGTGATATTGCTGGGACATTGCAAAAAAGCGGCGTAAATCCCAACTCACTCACTAAACCGAACCCAACTCACTACTAAGACGCGTGAATGCTGGGGTTGGTGGCGACATGTTCTAACATGGACCTCCTCAAAATTACGTGAATACCTTTCAAAGCGGCGATAAATACATGTCACTCACTCACAAGTATGAGATAATACTTAATGAGTGAGTGAGTTTAGTTTTACGCCGCCTTTAGCAATATCACGGCGGGGGACACCAGAAATGGGCTTCACACATTGTGCCAATGTGGGGAATCGAACCCGGGTCGTCGGCGTGACGAGCGAACGCTTTAACCACTAGGCTATCCCTCCACCCCAGATAATACTTAATGAGACTTAACAGTTAACTCCAAATGTACCGAACTTCAAGGGCCTTTAGAAATTACTTCGGTGTATAAGACCTTTGCAATTCAAATCAATAAATAATCCTTTTTGCATTGCAGTTTCGTCCCATTTAAACTCGTGATAACAAGAGTTGACTATAAATTACAACTTAACATCATGCGAACAGAACAATTCAGAAACGGTAAACCTCCCCCCGACATTTAGCTGACGCTAGGGGCACAGTCAACCAGTCGAAAAAGGAGCCGAAATTTGATAGAGTTGCGGCCCTTGCCTGCTTTAGTTGTGAGATATCACATTTCTACGTAAAACGTATACATTGAGGTTTGGTTGGTTGGTTGTATGTTGTATAACTCCGCAATATTTAAACTATTTGACGGCGGCCTGTAAATAATGGGTCAGACCAGTGATTGACATCATGAGCACCCCTACACGTTATTAAATAATATTATATAAAATGAGTGAGTGTGGGGGATCGAACCCGGGTCTTCGGCGTGACGAGCGAACGCTTTAACCACTGGGCTATCCTACCACCCCTTGCGATAAAATGAGATGCATGAACCAACCCACCGTTAGTTCCTCTTAAAACAATCAGCCGAAGGCTAACTCTAACTCCGACCTACACGGGGTGATGCGTCCATGCTGGATTGTCTGGTCCAGACTCGTTTATATACAGACCGCCGCCATATAGCTGGAATATTGCTAAGTGCGGCGTAAAACTAAACTCACTCACTCACAACAATACAAAGTTAAACGGGGGCGGTGGGGTAGGCTAGTCGCTAAAGCCTTTACTCGTTACGCCCAAGACCGCGTTCGATTACGCACATGGGTACAATGTGCATGTGAAGCCCATTCTGGTGTCACCCGTTATTGCTGAAATATTGCGAAAAGGTTACTCTTTCACAGTTAAACGTAACGAATGAGAAAACAAATGAGCCTTCCAGACACATTTACCTACATCACCCTGGAACTGTGGTCAGTGTGGATTTCGTTATGTACGCTGGCCATGAAAGAGGAAACTTCCATCATTATGCAAAACGAAATTGAAACTGATCTAATTCACACATTTATGACCTAACATAAAACACGACAACCTGATATTAATGATCTTTTATTTGTGTTTCCTACTCATGCATCATTTGAAGCTTGAATTGCTAACCGATTGTTAATTTTAACCTTGACAGTTGACACCCGACAGTCTTTGCCATATATGCAGTGTTTATACCGGAAGTGAGGTATACTCATGCGCCGTGTGCTTCCGTGTGTACCACGAGAGTTGTTTGACAAAAATCGGACAATGCCAGAACGAGGCTGTGAAGTACCTGCATGCGAGCCAATCATCATCTGGTTGGAGTTGTCACCTTTGTGTAAGTTTGAACCCAGAATATCAAGCGTGTCCTCTCACATTACCAACCTAGCATCCATACTTTCTCAAAACGGTTGGGTCAATAACTTTGATAAAATTCTGTCTAAATAGTGTGTTCCCCGCGTATGATCGGAGAAAAATATATATATATTTCCCAAAAATGCGTGTTGGGGACAATCTATAAGTCATCCTAGTATAACATGTTCCCATTGTGTACAGTTCATTTCACTATAAAACAGGTTCCAACTGACCACTTTGGCACGTTCCCACTTTGTATGGTCCACCTCACTATAACAGGTTCCTACTGACCACTTTAGCATGTTCCCACTTTGTATGGTCCACCTCACTATAACAGGTTCCTACTGACCACTTCAGCATGTTCCCACTTTGTATGGTCCACCTCACTACAACAGGTTCCTAGCATGTTCACCCATCTTTAGTATGACCACTTTAGCATGTCCCCCTTTGTATGGTCCACCTCACTATAACAGGTTCCTACTGACCACTTTAGCATGTTCCCACTATGTATGGTCCACCTCACTACAACAGGTTCCTACTGACCACTTTAGCATGTCCCCCCTTTGTATGGTCCACCTCACTATAACAGGTTCCTACTGACCACTTCAGCATGTTCCCACTTTGTATGGTCCACCTCACTACAACAGGTTCCTACTGACCACTTTAGCATGTCCCCCCTTTGTATGGTCCACCTCACTATAACAGGTTCCTACTGACCACTTTAGCATGTCCCCCCTTTGTATGGTCCACCTCACTATAACAGGTTCCTACTGACCACTTTAGCATGTTCCCACTATGTATGGTCCACCTCACTATAACATGTTCCCATTGTGTACAGTTCATTTCACTATAACAGGTTCCTACTGACCACTTTAGCATGTTCCCACTTTGTATGGTCCACCTCACTATAACAGGTTCCTACTGACCACTTCAGCATGTTCCCACTTTGTATGGTCCACCTCACTACAACAGGTTCCTACTGACCACTTTAGCATGTCCCCCTTTGTATGGTCCACCTCACTATAACAGGTTCCTACTGACCACTTTAGCATGTTCCCACTATGTATGGTCCACCTCACTATAACATGTTCCCATTGTGTACAGTTCATTTCACTATAACAGGTTCCTACTGACCACTTTAGCATGTTCCCACTTTGTATGGTCCACCTCACTATAACATGTTCCCATTGTTTACAGTTCATTTCACTATAACAGGTTCCTACTGACCACTTTAGCATGTTCCCACTTTGTATGGTCCACCTCACTATAACATGTTCCCATTGTTTACAGTTCATTTCACTATAACAGGTTCCTACTGACCACTTTAGCATGTTCCCACTCTGTACGGTCCACCTCACTATACAGCGTGTACAGTTAACCTCAAAATAACGTGGAGTAAAGACGTCACAATAACATGTTCCTATTGTGTACAGTCTGACTCGTCACTACATAGCGGAAACAATGTCGATTCGACGATAATTGCCATCTCCATAACAAGTTCACTCTCTGTACTGTTCACTTCATAATAACTGACCCATTAGGATCCGGGTTAGAATTGATCTTCAGTAACCCATGCTTGTCGTAAGAGGCGACTAACGGGATCGGGTGGTCAGGCTCGCTGACTTGGTTGACACATGTCATCGTGCCCCAATTGCCTAGATCGATGCTCATGCTGTTGATCACTGGATTGTCTGGTCCAGACTCGATAATTTACAGACCGCCAACATATAGCTGGAATATTGCTGAGTGCGGCGTAAAACTTAACTCACTCACTCATAATAACTTGTTTCTATAGAGTACAGTTCATATCACCCGAACACGTTACAAACACGCAGTTTCGCCTCACTGTAACACGTTCCGTCTATGTATAATCCACCTCGCTATAGCATATTCCTACTGTGTATAACATATCCGCATTTGTCTCTCGGCAGGACAATGTGAGCAACCTGTTAACGGAAGAAGAGATGGTAGGGCTTCTCGACATGTTCCGCAAGTGTAACGTCACAGCAGGTGCGTGTTGTTTTCAAGTATAAACCTGACATTTCTTTAACGTGTGTACCTTTCTTAGTGCTTAGACTTTATTTCGTTAATTATCCCCAATGTGATTATCGTAATCATACATTAACCAATAAATCCTGACCAGAGTCTTCGCTTTTTTAAATATTCAGGTGAAGATCTCACTCGAGATCAATATTTCTCCTACCGGAAGCTGCACTACAAGGGGCAGCTGGGAACGGAAATGACGTCAGATGAGTTGAGGGATGAGCTGCTAGTTGTCAGTCAACTAAGCAAGGGGTTGACTGGCCGCGTCTCTTGGAGCAACTTCCTGAATCACGAGGCTCTCAAAGTGCTTGAAAGAAGGAACAAAGTACACAATTCAGTTTTATTTCTGTTTGTACACGCAAATAGTTTCCATACAGATTCTGAGCTGACATAGTCAAGTCTCAAATACTTCACTTTAAAATATTGGTTTTATATTAGTGGTCGTTATTATAATTAAAATTAAATTAAATGCAAATTCTTTAAACAAAACGCAAACATGCCTGTGTTATATTTGGACATGTTGTAAAATGCTACGTGTGCACAATTCATGATCGTCAACCTTTAATTAGATTTAAAACGAAATTACAATTACACGTTAATTCATGGATCAAAGAGTTATTTTCCTTTCATCTGAGCAATCGTTAAAAAAATCTTCAATTAATTGCTTCCACTGCAACAATAGTTGTTGGTTGACCTCCACGACCCCAGAATAATAACGGACCTGCTGTTAATAGGATCTCCAAGACTAGTGTGTTTTCCGCCTCGTTTCCGAGCCAAACAGGAAGTGGTACTTGAAGAGTACGACGTAGAGTATATATCTCTATGTACTTGGTCAGCGAGTCTTCCGGTTCTCTGCAGACCGTCACCCAGAGTTTCAGCATACTGAAAATGTCAATGTAAATGTTTGAATAGGCACAAGTCATGTTCATATGAATATTAACATATCCGTTATGGTCTCGTTAAAAAAGTGAATGAGTTTTACGCCGCTTTTAGCAATATTACAGCAATATCACGGCGGGAATACCAGAAATGGGCTTCACACATTGTACCCATGTGGGGAATCAAACCCGAGTCTTCGCTTTAACCACTAGGCTACCCCACCGCCTCTCACGTTAAAAAAGAGCACGTTACGTTCATTAAGACTTTCATTTATTCTGGTCCTGGGGGCCGGTGGGATAGGGTATCGCTCGTCACACCGAAAGCACGGGTTTGATCCCCTTAATCAATACAATTATGTCGTGAGTCTAACTGACAGAGTGTGGAAAGCGAAAAATGAATCATGGCTTGGAGAGCTAAAACATGCTTACCTATTCGCTGTCATTATGGGATCGTTGTTAGAACGTTCTTTTGAGGTGGACGCTTTTTTAATGCCGGGCGGTGCGGTAGCCTAGTGGTCAAAGCGTTCTCTCGTAGAAGGCCCGGGTTCGATTCCCCACATGGGTACAATGTGTGAAGCCCATTACTGGTGTTTCCCGCTGTGATATTGGTGGAATATTGCTAAAGGCGGCGTAAAACTCAACTCACTCACTTATAAGTGCCGTCGGTGATGAGACACGTTGTACTTTCACGTTTTCCAGAACTCCTTGGTCCGTTACCTGACTGAACCGGAAATAGCGTGTGCCCGGGAGATTGTGAAAGCACGAGACAAGACTGGAAGGGGGGACATATCCCGCGATGATTTACTGCGTCTGACGTCACAGTTGTAAGTTACGTTTTTGTTTGTTTGTTGTCTGACGCCGCACTTAACAATTGTCCAGCTGTATGACGGGAGTCTGTAAATAATTGAGTCTGTACCAGACAATCCAGTGATTGACATCATGATCATCGACCCATGCAGCTGTTATACGATAGCATGCATCAAGTTAATGTTAATGTGTGGCACTTACGACTATCTTAGCACTTAGACAGCTTCGAAAATCTAGGCCCTGGAATACAATGACATGTGTCAGTGAGCCCAACCGCTCGTTCCCTTTATTTGCCAATTACGACAAGCATGGGTTGCTGAAGATCAATTCTATCCCGGATCTTCACGGGTGTAAGTTTCGTGTTCTCTCACTTACGTTGTTATGTATATGTGAATAGTGTTTAAGGCCGCAGTCAGGGCTAGCATTATTTCACACCTGCCGTTATGTGTTAAATTGTGCTGGGTGTGACGTTAAATAACAACAACCAAACACATTATTTCACATTTTTCGTTCCAACATACTGGTAAACGTAAAATTGCATATACTGTACATACCTAAGCAACTAACATATTCCCGACGTGTCTCCTTTAAATCGCAAGCAGTGATTTGTTTTCACAATTTGGCAAAGGAAATGTCATATATGTTATTTTTTATTGTCGGCTTATGAATAATAATCCGGAAATGAACACTACTTTCATATCCACAAAGTACCGACTTGCTGCCTTGAACAGCCTGAATCCTAATTGCTTCTATGGAAACGCAAAGACAACACCATTGAAACAAAATCCAAAATATCAAGAAAAGGCCCTGTATTGGTGTGTTCACAAATTCATCTGATGTTCCTCAAGCAAACCCCTTTTTAACCTACCAAAATGAAATCTAAAAATCAACTCTGATTAAACCGACACAACGATGACACATCGAGAAATGCCTTCAAAACAATATTGAAAAATATATTTTGATACTAAATAACACTTCCTTTAGATAAACTTTCTTCGCTTTATTCGAAATAAATACAAATCAATACGTTTATTTGAGGATTTATGGTGATTACCGTACGCTATTATCATAAAACAAACAAAGTCAATCAACACGGTGCCAAAGCGCTCTTCGTGAGCAAGAAATGTTTAGCTTCGAGTGAGAATGAAACAAATATATCAGTATTGTACATCACATCATTTAGGCCCAAACTTAAAATGTCTTGGTTTTCGATTCTGTCTACTCCAAAGAAATGAAAATGTGTCAAAACATATTTTGAATAGGAGCGGTGTTTGTAGTTCTTCCACCTACCAGAAACACGTAAAATACGTATGTTAAATTTAAACTTGTATAGTAGTGATTTCAAAAAAAATAATTCATGTAAAATATCATGATTAACATCAGTTTTCAATGTTCCTTAAATATTACACAAAGGATTATGGAGAGGAGATTTTAATTATCTTCCGTTTTCGACCTACCAACCTGAATTTATGGACCAGAAACAAACAAAAGAAATAGGAGAAAAAAGGTATGTCGTTTGATTACAATAAAAAAATCGTTAAAATTTATCTGTTGCCGATAAGTTTATGGTGCACTTTAAAACAACATTAAAACATAACCGCATATGACGATACTACCACGCATGAGCTACTCTAGAAATATAAATGTATCGGGAAGGTTAAACGCCTGGTATGATTTAAGTAGTCACTGAAGCGTACGTAAACTTTCTTTCAAGGAAATGTTTCTATGTTGTCCATAAATATGCACCATACATACAAACTAAATTCAATTACCCATAAGTCCCATAGTCCATTTGTAGTGAGTGAATTTAGTTTTACGCCGCTTTTTAGCAATATTCCAGCAATATCACGATAGGTACACCAGAAATGGGCTTCACACATTGTGCCCATGTGGGGAACTGAACCCGGGTCTTCGGCGTGACGAGCGAACGCCTTAACCACTAGGCTACCCCACCACCCCCAGTCCATTTGTATGTTATATCTTAGCATATAGTGAACCCAATTACACTGAAACCTCGTTCAACCGGAATGCTGGGATCAACGAATGTCCGGATTGACGAATCTATGAGTAACGCCCTTCACTGTATTTCAGTCTCATTAGTAAAGCCTCATTTGATATTCTTGGTTTGTTTGTTTGTAGTTTAACGCCTCACAATAATACAGCTATGAGGAGGTGATGTGTAAATGTTCGGATGAGGACTAGAATATCCGGTGATTGACATTATGAACATAGATCTGCACCTTTGGGATTTGATAACATGCATCAACACCTGATTCCGTCAACTGCTTTTCGAGCAACATAGGTTGCCGAAGACCACTCGTAACCCGGGTTGTCACCCCCCTCCCCACGGTGGGATATTCGTTATATACTCATGCCATTTATGGTTGTCACCCCCCTCCCCACACCCCCTCTCCAATTAAAAAAATTGAAGGGGGTGACAACCATTATTGGCATGAGTATATAACATAAGTAAAATATTCCATATGTAGTTTGGGGGCGGTGGGGTAGCCTCGTGGTTCAAGCGTTCGCTCGTCACGCCGAAGACCGGGGTTCGATTCCTCACATAGGTACAATGTGTGAAGCTCATTTACAGGTGCCCCCGACGTGATATTGCTGGAATATTGCTAAAAGCGACGTAAACCATACTCACTAACTCACTCATATGTAGTTTCAGCTGAACATAAACACAATACTTTCATTTCCAGTGATCAGATCTTCCACGTGACCTATAGACAAGACAAGATAGAATTTGCCGACGACGACCTCACAGGGTGAGTTAATGAGGAGATATGAAGTTGGTATTGTGCAAGTAGATCTGTGACTGGCACGCTGATGCCAAGATAGTATGGATAACCTAATGTTTTAATACAATTATACGGAAACGTTGCTACAGCTGTTTTTACGAACCCGGTCATCCATATTATCCTGCCACCAGCTGATATACAGCTATACAATAAGCAGGGGAACCTGTTTTTGAGAATAATTATGTGCAGTTTTGGTAATTACCTTATAGCAATACAAAGAGTTGTAAGAACTGAATTTGAAGATTTCAGCTACACGATAGACTCACACACGACGTGGTCGCAGTTTGTCTCCCGGACCCCCAAACATATATTAAAAACCGAACCCAAATCTATCAGAGTGGTCTCCCTTGGTCGTTCCAGTATCCGCTTGGTCGTTCCAGTATCATGGTTCTAAATTGATATTTCTCCCATAAAATGAACAGAACATCATATTGGGCCTTGCTCCATCAAGAATGTGACAAGCCTTGATATCTGAAATATTTTTTTTAAAGAAGTAGTAAACCAATTCCGAAACAACACGGGTGATATTGAAATTGTTAACTGTGACCTATTGTCTGCATATATATGTGACATATGTTGTGTGACAACTGCGACATATTCCAGCAGCATAAAGAGTCAGTGTACTTCTGTCAGTGTTAACTGTACTTTCTTTATTACATCTACAGTTCCGTCAACTGGGAACGATTCCTCAGGGATATGTCCGTATTCATCATAGCAGGGAGGCTTAACATCTTCAGACAGGCTGTGGCGGAAGCTAAGAAGTGCGCACACGCAGAGATGGTCTCCCAGCAGACGGTAGCCAAGTCAACTTCCTCTGTTACCATAACAACCAAACCGACGCCTCGCAAGGTGACGTCACGGTCGTTGTACGTTATCAACAGCGCCTATGGACGACTTCTTGGGGACACACGAGCTCAGAAGAGGCCAATGTCTTTGGCATAGGCCCACATTTCACCCCACCCAACGCCTGACTTTGATTATTACAATTTATGTCATAGATATGAATATTTTCATTGTTTATATCAAATGATAGACGATTTACCTTACACATTACCAGATGAGCGCATTTGTCCATCTTCTCACGTGGGCTTCTAACGCAAACAACCCCAGCATCAAGGTATCGTCAAGGGTCTTGGCGCTGTATAAGAATGATCACTGCCGGGTCTTGGCGCTGTATAAGAAGGATCACTGCCGGGTCTTGGCGCTGTATAAGAAGAACCACTGCCGGGTCTTGGCGCTATATAAGAAGGATCGCTGCCGGGTCTTGGCACTATATAAGAAGGATCACTGCCGGGTCTTGGCGCTATATAAGAAGGATCACTGCCGGGTCTTGGCGCTATGTAAGAAGGATCACTGCCGGGTCTTGGCGCTATATAAGAAGGATCACTGCCGGGTCTTGGCGCTATGTAAGAAGGATCACTGCCGGGTCTTGGCGCTATATAAGAAGGATCACTGCCGGGTCTTGGCGCTATGTAAGAAGGATCACTGCCAGATCTCAGCGCTATGTAAGAAGGACAGATGCGGTGCCGGGTAGCGCTACAGATGGTTAGCCTAATGGTTGCTCGTCACGCTGAAGACCCGGGTTCGATTCCCCACATGGGTACAATGTGTGAAGCCCATTTCTGGTGTTCCCAGCCGTAAAAGCGGCGTAAAATCATACCTCCTCCTTCACTCTTGGGGCTATGTAAGAAGGATCACTGCTGGGGTCTTAGTGCTATATAAGAAGGATCACTGCTGCCGGGTTTTGGCGCTATATAAGAAGGATCACTGCCGGGTCTTGGCGCTATGTAAGAAGGATCACTGCCGGGTCTTGGCGCTATATAAGAAGGATCACTGCCGGGTCTTGGCGCTATGTAAGAAGGATCACTGCCGGGTCTTGGCGCTATGTAAGAAGGATCACTGCCAGATCTCAGCGCTACAGATGCGGTGGGGTAGCCTAATGGTTCAAGCAACTGCTCGTCACGCTGAAGACCCGGGTTCGATTCCCCACATGGGTACAATGTGTGAAGCCCATTTCTGGTGTTCCCCGCCGTAAAAGCGGCGTAAAATCATACCTCCTCCTTCACTCTTGGCGCTATGTAAGAAGGATCACTGCCGGGTCTTGGCGCTATATCAGAAGCATCACTGCTGGGGTCTTAGTGCTATATAAGAAGGATCACTGCTGCCGGGGTTTTGACGCTATATAAGAAGGACCACTGCCGGGTCTTCTCGCTATTTAAGAAGGATCACTTCCGGGGTCTATATAGTACTAAGACCCTGGCAGTGGCAACATTTACCTTGGTGCTATTTTTACGCTTTCGTTACAAGCCGCCGTGCGCCTTTCAAGTGCTCCAGAAGTTCTGTATCTGTATTATAGACATCGTATTCATGGGCTTCCACGTTGATACGGAGAGGCTGTAAATATATGTTTCATAAACTTCTTTACCAACTGCTCAAGTCCTCATTCCTAGATATTAATCACCGTTGGGGTCAAACGTTTCTCGTTGTACTTTCTGATTAATTTTTCATACACGTGTTTGTGACCGAATAGTTTTCACCGTATGTCTCTGAAAGTAAAAACTAAAGATTTCTTGGGAACTAAAAAATATTACCTTTTTAGTAGATCCAGCATGTCAGGTAAACCAGTTAATTTTTGTAAGAGAGTATCTATCTCGTCATGTTTTTAGAACTGAGCAAACTTTGAGCGTATATTGTTTACGTTTTCAGATGTGTCCATATGAATGCAACTAAGACGTTCTTCGTTGTAACAAGTTCAGAATTTTTTTAACACAAAATGTACAAGTACGAGTAGGAATAAAATTAATAAAACAATGCTACCTTACCATTTCTAGAAAGTGTTTACTGTAATTGAACATGAGCAAGTCTGTGCCACAAACTGATTCTCGAAGATGTACATGAAAACAGTTCAGAGATATCAAGATTCACATGTGATCAGTCTTACTCATACCTAGATTTCCATAAGTATTTTGAAATACTTACGTTGTTGATTATGTGAGGGGAGGTGAAATTGGGTTTAACGTCGTGCTTGAGAATATTTCGCTCATATGACGACGTGCATGCGTGTGTATGTGTATGTGCGGCTGCTTGTACTAGCCCACACTTAGGCTGGTTTTATAGTGCTAGCCCACTGAGATACCATGCCGCAGTGAAGCATGAATACCCCACTCAGACACATTATACTGACTCCGAGCCGACCAGTCCTTGTTGTACCCATTAATGCCGAGCGCCAGGCAGGGACCAACAAGTACCATATTTTAACGTCTTTTGGTATGACGCGGTCGGGGATCGAACCCGTGACATTCCGCTCTCCGGGCGGACGCCCTAACCACTACACCACGGAGGCGGTCGTTATTGATTATGTTAGAAACTTAATACTTGATAGTCTAACAGAGGGAAAAACTTTGTCGTCAGCCATTAGTACGCCTGATAAATATTATGTCAACATTTTATGGTTTCCTTTAGAACTTTACAGTTGCCAGTGGAATAAACAGCACCCATTTCTATATATTAAAGATGATTTCAGTTCAGTCAACAATTGCCACAACTGTGTATATTTGTATACGTTTGTTGATATACGTTAAAGATATATACATGTATTAGAGAATCTCAAGGATGCCTGTTCACATTTCCCCAAAACTGTACCTTTCTCATGTTTGAGAGACCTACGGCTACGTAGAGGGTGGTGCAGCCTTGTGGTTAAAGCGTTCGCTCGTCACGCCGAAGACCCGGGTTCGATTCCCTGCATGGGTACAATGTGTGAAACCTATTTCTGGTGTCCCCGGACGTAATATTGCTTTGGTATTGCAAAAAGCGACGTAAAAATAAACTCAATCACTCAATCCTACGCCTACATACACAGTGTCATGTAAGTGCTGTTACTGGAGTAAGTCTTGGTAACCACTCTCGCATGACTCAAGTCCGGTTCGGTGTGATGTTGCTACGGGAGTGGGGATGGGGTGTGATACAAGACGTCACTGCCAATGTCAAGTTTGGACATGAGGTGTGAAAGATAATAGAGCATCGTACTTGACGATACAAAACATATGACACCAAATTACGAGATGCCGTTTAACATCTTTAAAGTAGGTTATGAAGAAATACATTGCGCCACTTCATACAGGTTATTGCATTTCATACGCTGACCTCGCAACTCCTGGTCTATACAATTTTTAATATTATTACTACTGAATTTAGGGACCGACTTAACATAACTAGAACAAAACTACAACCGTGGAAAATGATTATTAAATTCTAAACATAATGCCTTGAACCCAATAAATGGCTGTAATGATAGTGCACTTGAGTGATTGAGTTTATTTTTACGCCGCTTTTAGAACTATTCCAGCAATATCACAGCTGGGGACACCAGAAATGGGCTTCACTCATTGTACGCATGTGAGGAATCGAACCCGGGTCTTCGGCGTGAGGAGCGAACGCTTTAACCACTAGGCTACCCCACCGCCCCTATAGCATTTGACTCACTGACTGAGTATGGTTTTACGCCGTTTTTAGCAATATTCCAGCAATATCACGGCGGGGGACACCAGAAATGGGCTTCACAAATTGTACCCATGTGGTGAATCGAACCCGGGCCTTCGGCCTGAGGAGTGAACGCTTTAACCACTAGGCTACCCCACCGCCCCTAGTGCATATGAACTACACAATGAGACAATGTGAGATTACCTACCTTTTTATGCAAATTGTGTGATTTGTCTTGCTACCAGTAGGGCAGGAGACACTTACCGTTATCCCCTTGTGTCATCGCAAATGTTCCATTCATATAATTCTCAACGCTATTTTCTTGTTCGGGTCCAATGGAATATGTCTCGGCAGATAACCGAGACTGACCATTTTCTGGAGATAGCGTTATATGTGTATTCCAGTATTCACAAGTTCAAACTACCAACGCTAACATCGTTTCACAATTTGAACAAACCAATCCGATTAAAATGATAATCAACTGCGTCTTTGTCACTCTTAGATTTGTATGTTTGGTTCCTCGTCAATAACTAGCCTTGCTCCAAGGCTATACTGAATGCTAAGCCCATGGATGTATAGTAATTCTATCCTTAAACAAGGCAAGGCTCTAAGGACGCCAGTCTGTTATTTATATAATTTTTCGAAATTTTTATTTCAATTATAAATTATTACCTTAGAGACTTGTGCAAGTCTAGTCAATAACCTGCCTCCGTTATTCTCGCGGACGTTAATGAACGACCGACATGTTGATACAAATGATGTAATATATATACAACCCGAGTTATTTATCCAAGCAATAAACTCTATATCAACACGTGCTGTGCGAACAATTTCCGTGTCATTGACTGCTGTATCACAACTTAGTGATACGTTTCATAGCATTCCGCATACTGTATCGTTGCACATAACACCAAAGCTGTATCGAATACAGTTGACATTAATGTATGTTTAAAACATTGGAATATAGACACAAATGCAGCTATTGTATCCCATGGGTTTATATTTAGACACATTTATCTTCGCGATCAAACATAAGATATGACAGTGCACGAAGGTTTCATGTCATCACGAGCGTCACAGATTTGCGCCCCAACATCTCACAACACGTCACAGTGTCATCAACAGCGTCTTGTATCCCTGTGCACAATAATCCCTCGCTAATCCGGACTGAACAGCTTGAATCATCCGGATCAACAAATGGCGAGTTCGGAGTCATGGTCATCACTATGTTTCCCGGCACTGATCGTCTGTAATGCGAGGTGTCCGGTCTATCAAGGTTCCACTGTTTGATCACTTACATCATGTAGTGGGGACGCCGTGCTCAGCGATCCACTCATTCAACATAGCCATATATTTGTACCTCAAATGCCCCTGAGATCGTCGAGCTAGCAAATGTAACGTTGCAAAGTCTTTCGGTTTTTCAACCTCGGGAGTAGCATCCACGGGAACAGTGGCCTGTTGATTGTCTTTTGAGGCAGTCAGTGACTGAAGACGCCGCTCCCTCGTATGGGCTCGGAGAAAAGACGGAATTATCTTAGGTTTCCCCACCGGCTTTCCGTACAGTCTTGTACTGTGAAAGTTGGAATCTCTTACAAACGTAGAACCGAAAGCTATCCTTCTTTCCGGCAGCTTTGGGCGACATGGGAAGGGCTTTGTTGAGATGCTGCTCATGGGCACAGACGGTAGTTTATCAGTTGAAGTATCTGTGAGTCTACATCTAGCTAACCTTCCTTCCTCGCTGTCCAATGTCCTTGGATGAAGGGAGTCTTTACTCTGTCTGAGGGCACCAATCCTCCCGCTTCTCTTGTCGCTTGTATCGCTCTCGGAGCTACCCCACGCCTCGCTGGCCATTAGGGGTCGGGGGTTGACGGCGGGGAGGGAGGAAGGGTGACGATCCCGACTCAGACTAGGTCCGCTGCTGTTTGATCTGGACCCACCGGAAAGGGCGCTTAAATCCAGTTTTGTTGATTCTAACGACGTTGGAGGTACAGTTTCAGCTATCAACAACTCCTCCATATC